AGCGCGGCGAGAAAGGTGACACTCGGGGGTTAAGACAGAAACATTATATTTCCAGCTTGGGCTGACAGTACTGAGAACCTTTCCGAAGCTTTGTAAACAAACGATGAACAGTTAAATTATTGCCAGTATATTTGATGCGATGGAAGTACATTCAGTACATTTGCTTGTAACCATGATAACAACTATTGTTCCAAACCCTACTCGCATGACGTTTGTGATTTAAAATAAAGAAAACAAGGGGGATATGAGTGGAAGGCTTCTAGCCGGAATATCATTGTTCACTGTATTGTTGCATAGTAGAACTTCGATATAACGAAGAGCCAAAGGATAGGCAGAATATGTTCGCTTAGACGAGGTTTCGTTATATCGAAGTTCTCTTAATTCATATATTTTACTATTACTGGGGTAAGAACAACCGTCCGTTATACTGAGGACTTCTTTGCATCGAGGTCCGTTATATCGAGCCCGGGGGGCGGGGGACTCCGAATATGAAAGAGGTGGGGATGCTCGTCGGAAATTTTGAATTAAACCCCTAAAGGAGACCGATCTGGGCGTGGCCCAAGCTTTTTTTCACCCCTAAAAGAGACCATGTTATAACGCAGACAATATATCTATTTTTATATTTTTTCATGTGCAACCCTAAACGAGACCTACACGGCTAAATATGATGGCGTTTTGCCCAGAACACCCTATTAAGTGAGACCAAAATCCGAAATTTACACCCCTAAGCGAGACGACGAGCATCCCCACCCCTTTCATATGCGGAGTCTCTCCTGCGGGATATCGAGGTACCACTTTAAATAGGTAGATGGCACCATCACAGCAGAGGTGGGCGAGGTATAGTCAGGGCGTGGGGTTATACGATATGTATTTCACACCTCTTTGCTAACAAGGTAAAAAATATCCTCAACTTGTCTCCCCAACAGTTGAAACCCGAAGCAGAGAAAATGGCAGGGCAAGAATTTCCTGAATTTAAAGCCATTTCATATAAAACTCAAGTTGTAGCTGGAATGAATTACTTCATTAAGGTTAGTCAAAAACGTTTCACACCTACCCCTTCCCTAAGCCAACATTAACACTTACTTCTCACTTAGAACAAAATGTTGGCTTAGGGGAGGGGTAGGTGGGCAGTTTCCCAGAAACGAATGATGATCCCAACGCACGCCGGATCTGCAGTCAGTCCCACATTGTACTTATTATGACATCCACGAAGGAGTGGGGAGTGGGGGTAGGGGAAATGGCAAGCATTGTGTTTGCCGATTATTACCTAATGATTCCTGTTAGTATAGGTAATAGCATGATTTGAAATGTATTTCGATAATTGCCACTGTTGATATTTCGAAATTGTTATACGTAATTTCACAAGCCGTTAGGCGAGTGAAAATTGAGACAATTTTGAAATATCACGAGTGGTATTTATGCCAAATATCACGTAAAAATCAAACTACTATTCGTTTATATTACTACCAAGCAAAATGGTTTGTAATTTTCGCATGCAGGTATTTCAAATTATGCTGAAATACTACTGCTCTAAGCCAATCAAATTACAGAAATTTCAAATGTATTAGTATAATAAAGTTAAGTCAAGCGTTGTCTGTTTCCATAATCACTAATATTCTCATAACACAGCATTCCAGTCAAACGCTCTGCCCGGCCAATGCGGTATTACTTCCATAATTTTTGAATAAAGAAAGATCGATAGTTTAAAAATTAATTTTTGTTAAGACATTGTCACAGCCCCACACTTCGCCTTCAACTCAACGCTTTCGGACGTGAATAATGCATGCAGGATCACTGTGAAAGATTTCACCCCATGTAAGAGAATCCGGATTGCGGAAACCGAGAGATTTTTGCTCGTGGAATCCGGAATGCAGCTCAAGCAATCCAGAATCCGACTAACCATCGGAATCCGGAATCCAAGTTCCACTGGAAATTCAGGAATCTAGTACCTGGAATCCGGAATCCACGGCGTGGAATCCAGAATCCAAGACTGTCTTGGATTCCCTTACATGGGGTGGAAGATTCTTCAGAGAAGGGTACAGCTTAGTTAAAGGGGCTCTGTCACTAAATTTAGCGAAAGATAAGGAAGGACCTCTCGATGGTCTCGCACAGAAGGCCGTGCACAAGTGCTATTAAGCCACGCTTACATTCAATTTCCGTTTTTTTTTTTTCTGGAATAGGTACCTTATTCTCCTTCATTTTCGCGGGTTCTTGAATTCGCGATTTTCGCGATTTTAAAAAATTCGCGAACTTAAAGATCCGCGAAAAATAATGACCGCGAACTTTGATCCGGCGAAATTTAATTAATGGACATAGAAAAATCATGTATTTGTGTTTTCAAGGCTCCTAAACAATTTTTAACACAAGGTGTTAGTACAAGGAGCTATCATCTATCAACTTAAGATGTTAATCAGTGTCAAGATTCGCCTCAAGTTCTTCTTCGGCATCTGAGTAATCATCTTCGCACAGTTCCTCCAATACATCCTTTAAACAGTCGTCAAATTGACCATCCTGTCCCGGCTCCTTGTAGTGTGTAGTTACGAGTGTCTTGTATCTTTCCATTATTGCCCTGTTCCCTGGTGTATCGTCCATTTCACAAATCACCTCAACAGGGAACAGAATATTGGTTTTGTTTCAATCGTTGGTTAACGTAAAATTTTTGTAAAAAAGAAAAAATAAAGTCACTTAATCGTCAATTTCGCGAAATTAAATTCCCCGCAAACACAATTTTTCTCCGCGATCGCGAAATGAAAGACTCGCGAAATGTGCCGAGAAAATTTTCGCGAAATTTAAGTCCCGCGAAAATAAAGGAGAATAAGGTATATTATCCATCACCCTCGCTTTCATGCTCTTTTAGATAATTATCTGTTAGAACGATTGCGTGTGATCACAAGCTCAACTTTGGGTTTTGATATCTTAAACAGAAACTCAAGAGTAATATTGGATCAAAATTCCAAATTCAATGAAAGGAAATAACATTAATTTTATAAGATCTTTTATTAGTGTCCCCTTAGTTTCGCTATCAAGTTAATTTTTCCTCTTTCGTCATTTCAACATTTTGAATGCTGAAAGTTCATAATTCACTGACACATTACATATTGGATCTACAGTACAATCTCGATTTCTCGAACTCTAGGAGTTGCGAAACCCAGGATAATTCGAACTAAGCCTAACCTTCTTTACCAGCCATGCCACACAGTGTAATTTTACCTCCGATTTTTCAAACCACCCCATCATTCGAACCAATTTTATTTTCCCAATGTTGTCCGATAAATCGGGATTTCACTGTATACCTTACTCGAGGGTGGGTCCTTTAAACTGTTAAAATATTTTACCTACAGGTTCATGTTGGCGGTCCTTCCTACGTTCATTTGCGTGTTTTCCAGTCTCTACCAGGTGATGGATCAACTCTTACATTATCTGCTATAAAGACAGGAATGACCAAGGACGATCCCATCAACTATTTTGACTAGAGTCCACACAAGTTCTACATCAAGACAACATTCAACCTCGTACCTAGGGTTTTTTTACTCGCTAACTACGTCATGCTACGTCATTAATGACGCAGTTGACGAAAAACCTTGTTCCCAGGGTCCTTCTTTTTGTCTTCTGTGTTCGACTTAAGAGTGGCGTAAATGACGAAAGAGAGATCCTGGGAACAAGGCTAGCTCACGAAAACGAGGTCGGACAAAAAATAACAGTGACTAGTGATGTAAGCATTTTTCAATAATGTTAAAGTAAAAAGTTAGAAACTATTTTTGGCTTTTGTTTGATCGTTTGCAAAGACTTCTTAGAGCTTAAATTAACTGACTGAAGGGATGAAACATCTTGTGCCTGCTTGATGGTTGTAAGTAAAGCTTTGCAATACCTGGAAAATGTATCACCTTCAAGCCACAGCAAAATGTATTTTCACTCTACATGCGTACAGGATCGCCACGGTAAAAATTTCGAGGTTACATTCCACAAATTACATTACACAACTGATCATATCTGTTTAGTAGCTAATAAGAAATAGAAAAGTAGAAAAATTCTCTTGAGTTTTTAAGAAAAAAAAATGAAACAATCAACGAAACGAGTCTGATAGGATATGAAACAATAATTTTCCAAGTTTATGCTATAACTTTAACTATATCAACATCAAGGACTTTTCTAACCACAAAAAGGGGCAGCATTCACCAACTCCGGCAGTATGACTATTCCTTCTTAGCAAACTCGATGAAAGAACAGTGCCAGTTAGCTTTTCGGCTTTAGAAATGAGCTTTTTAGGCACTGAACGAGAAGAATTAGCTTTCATTCCTTTCTTTTACAGACCTTGTAACGTTCAGTCTTCGGTGCAGGGGATGCGGAGTATGTTTATTATGTATACATTTTGCGACTTACACACCCACAGCATGTTTGCTGTTTCAGGAGGTACTCTAGGAAAAGGATTCACCCTTCCAAGACATGAGGTCGGTGTTTCCAGGGCTCGAAATGAAAAGTCCTATCCGGTTAGCCAGGATGAGTAGGCGTTCTTTGCTGGGAAAATATCGTTTTAAGCTTACCTGCCCAATAGGCAAGGGTCCAGACAGGTCATCTTGTAACTAAATTATTAACTAAGACAAGCGACCAAAGGCTCTGGGCAAGCAAAATGTGAGAACTTTTGTAAGGACAAGCTGTAATTCAAGTTTTTTAGTAGCCTTGTATTGTAGACTCATAATCCCTTTGGGTTACCTAGAGTGTTCTCACATGACGTCACGGCGGCCATACTGAAGGAGTAAACACTAAAAATTATATTTGCATGAAAATTAAACTTTTTTCCAAAGGAAAATCGTTTTATTGTTTTACTCCTCCAACATGGCCGCCGGGCACATACTCTATATTTATCAGCCTTCATAGACGCTGTCAGTTTTCAATCCAACTGCGAATCGAAGCCGGTAGCATATTGAGATTGATCAGATGTCGCATGGTGGGTCTTCTCCCATATGACAAACTACCTTCTTCATTTGAGCCTGGTTAAGTGCAGTTGCAACCATGATAGACATGCGACATGCACGACTTGCAAACATTTTCCTCACCCTGGAGGGTCTACACATCGCGCCGGGAGAATCACTCAGCATGAAAATCAACTCTTCAATGTCCTCGACACCTTCACTGGCGCAAAATGTCTGATTGGTCGACGCGCGACCACGTGACATTGCCACATTCAAAATGGCGGCAATACCTCCATCGTTTGTTTATTCCAGTGAAAAGAAGATTAATTGCGGCTTAATATGAGTTGCAAATGCATATACGGATATTTTTAGAATAACCTAGACTTTTTATTATCCTTTTTCACCTATTCCTATGGGATTCGTTCCCTGCGATGCTCGCGTTTTAGCAAGTCTACCGGATTCAACTTTGGACTCTTCACGATCACGAAGGACAACAATATTATATTTTTGATGAAAGCCGGGTCACTAGAAAGAACGGCCTTTATTCACAGCTCTATGCAGCGGAGAAATAAGACACTATGGGTCTTTTGAAATTGCTTAGACACCCGGAAGTTATTTTATTATTTTTTTTTACCGAAAAGATAAAGCAAAATTATGTTTTCTCCAGCAAGACTTTCTAATTTATAAAAACTGAAAAGCTTGAACATGAGCTAAATGAACTGTAGTGTCTGCATTCATGTTCTTTTCATTGCAATTTTAATATCAAAACATTAAAGCCGTCTATGACCGAGCAGGTTTTCTTTTTTTTTTTTCTTTTCAATGGTTACTGTGCTTGATCTGAATAAGATAATGAAATTTTTAAAATTAGGGGAATACTATCTATAAAAGAAGAGAACTTTGATTGCAAATATGTTAGTTATGGAAAAATACTGATTATACTATATGATCTTTTTACCATATAGGTTAGAAAAGCGATGCGTAGTCAAAAGTGCTACAAAGGAGTAAATTAAAACCCAGATCTTTCCATTCGTAAATTTTATTGACACTGTCAGGGACATATACTTTGCTTGAGTACACATTTCTTCGTCAAAAATCTTGTTCGTGAAGCTGCACTTTGTTTGATTCAGGATCAATCAATCTTTTGTGAAGAGAAATGAACATGACAATAAAGTATGTTAACATGTCACTACTTCAACACTGCCTTAGCCAACAACTAGGAAGAAACTCTACTTCATATCAAAAAAACAAAGTGAAAAATAGTTCATTGTGAAACAACAACCCCTTCAAATATACATCACATTAAATTCATGCAAAATGTAGACCTGATGAGAAGTTTATAGGAAAAGAAACAAACGATAAGTACAATGAAACTATAGTCTTTGAATGAGATCTGTATTTGAGTGTTCTCTCATAATTCTGACAGAAGATCAAAATTGGAAACTGCATATCCTAAACAACTGCATTCATCAACATGATCCAACTAAAATTTCATTAAGATTTAAAGTTAACTCCAAACTTTAAACTCCTGTAAGTTTAATTTGTGAGGATTAATTTTTTTTTTCTTGGAAAGAACTTTTGAATACTTAATAGCATGTTAACTCTATCATTCATTCATAACTTTGCGCTAAAAAAAAATTAAGCCGAAAACGATGGACAGAAAAACAAAAGCATTCACAGGAATATTACCCTGTTCATCTCCTTCCAGGATCCAATTTTGAAGCAAAGAAGCACCCCCCACAGAAAGCCTTGTGTGCAAGAATTTAGTACTAAAAAATTGTACACGGAGGACATCATGTCCGTAAGTAAGGTTCCTAACGAAGTAACTCGTTGTGTGGATAATCCCAAGCCAAATTTATGAGCTAAATAATCTAAACTTCGATCCTTCAATTATAAAATTGCAAGCCTAAATGTACAGCAGCTGTGCACATTGTAAACATAATTTTTTTCACAAATCAGAATGTTGCTGGACCTATCGAACTGTAGCTCCAAGACGGTCTAAGAGTTTTAATGAAAACACTCTCACATTTTCTCATTCGACAGTTCGCATAAAACTCAAATTTCTACATAGTAACATACAAAGCTGTAATAACGTGTAACAACAATGAAATTTGCATCGATCGACAAAATCACGTTTCGAACTACGCACTTTAGAAAACTGCCGCAACCCGGCCGCTTTCGATCCACTAGCCACAAGACAATAACGCAGCAAGACAATCGCTAAGAATATTTCTTTAACTTCTCTATAATTTCCTTTTGTACCGAGTGACACAAGATTAAGTTGAACCAAGCGTAAGCGTATTTTTTCCGCCATAAACAGTATAAACATGCGGAGATAAAGCATCTAAATATAGTTTTTCCAGCAACAAAGTATACGCTAAGTCATATTAACAAGACAAAGCCCAAAAGTGTCTGTCCCTCTACCTTTTTTGTTGAATCTGTGATAAGAAACTTGATCTTAACAACAAAAAAATTTTGGATAGCATTGAAATACGCTCTTCGATCAACAGTGAGTCAACAGTCGAGTGTTATCGAATGTTAGAGACACAATCAAGGTCGAATTTTGACACAAAAACGAGATACACATTTAACAAAACTGTCGCTTCCGTGCAACTCGGTACAAGCTAACTTGATACCAAAACAAAGCCCAATAATTTTTCTTCCTCTACTTTATAATTTCTTTTTGTACCGAGTTGCACGGAACATGCAGTAAACAAAAAGAGCAAAAATTACCCACCTTTTCGGCATGTCTTCCACATGCAAACCAGCGATCTCAACGTCAATAACAGTGAATCAGACCGTCAAAGCGATCTTTCGCCAGTTTCAGGACGCTATATTCTCTAGAGAACACACCTACGTCAAAACTTTGACCAAGATAATTTTTGATCTCTTACAGTGGTAAGAAATTTGCAACGCTGTCACTGCCAAAAAAAAGCTGCCATCGCTCCTTTCATCTCAACAACATTTCGAGGGCATTTTTGCCTCGGAGCCAATGACATTTCCCGAAATAGATCACGTGTTATTTTTAGTAGAGCATGCGCAGACATTTTTCGCCGGTGAACTCGACACCAAACGTCCAGTTCTTGCTCATGGGCAGTGAAACCAGTTTGACCTTTTTCATTGCCTCGGCATTGTGATCAATCTCAAAATAAAATCCGTTCTTTTGAAATATTTCCACGTTGTCCATAAGGATAGCTTCATTGGCAGTGGTTAGTTCAAGCTTCTGGGGAACAATAAGAAGTTGGGACTTAATTGTCGTGTTCCTCTGTTGATCCTCAAAGTTAAATTTCTCATCTGAAGCATGCTGGTCGATTATGAACAAATCATTGTCCAGTTTTACGATGATAAAACCCAGATTAAATTGTCCCAAAACTTCCATACCCTTGAACATATCTTTACTAATATTTTTCGTTAGTTCTTTCTCAGCACTGGAATTGCTCTCTGGTGCTATCTTCGCTCTGAACAAACGAGCTTCTACTTCTTCTGTTTTCTGTCTGGTTTGTGCCGTAACAACTCTTTTAAGTTTATTCCTACTGAAACTCACTGTTGTTTCCTTTCTGTTTCAAACCATCTCTGATACCTGATCATGAGTTTGTTTTTCGGTGTTGCCAAGTTTAGGAAGAACCAGACTGAGTATTGTTTTGCAAGATGCGTTACTTGAATTATGTTTAGCCTGGCTTAAAAGTGTTTGATTAGTTTTATCGAAACGCTCTGAATCTATTTCTTGCTGGACGTCTTTCTGAGAACTAAGTTCGTCATCATCAGATTCGCTTACAGAAATGATATCATCCTTAACTTTTAACAACTTCAATGTCAGTTTTTTTTGCTAACAGTTCATTGCTATCACCAATATTTTCAGAGCTTTGAGTCTTAGTAACATCATAAACATGCCCACCATCTGTTTCCACAGACTCTTTGCTTTCCAGCCTAGACTACGAGTAGTTCCCCATTTTTTCTCATGGGGGACTAGCCTAGAAGCTTGTTTGTCCCGCGTGAATATGCTGCTAAACTTCACCTGCTTACAGCTAGGCCCATTTGGTTTCTCAACCACATCTTGGTCAACTGAAATTGCTAAGCGATGGAAATTTCCCTTTCTCGACATCCGTCGTTGCTGGTACAACTGAAGCAGGTGGATCTGATACCTTTTCATCTTGCTTGATCTCAGCGCATTGAAGGTTTTCATTTTCATGGGAGTCGCCAGTGCAGTTTCTAGGAACGAGAGAGGCTGACAGTTTTATTTTTTAAAATATATTTTTGAACTCCTTTAGACTCGAGTACCAAACGCTCTTCCGGAAAGAAGCCCTTTCTCGGAGAGGAACGTGTTCAACGTCGAACCCCAGAGATTCGAGCCTAGAACAACTAATGCCCTGCTGTACGGGACCTTTAACAAAAGTCTTGGTCAGGGGAGCGGGGAGCGGAAAAAATAGCGGGGTTTTAACACCAGGCCAATGCTTAATTCCCCGCTAAGTCCCGGGGGTCGGGAAGGGGGGGGGATTGAGTTTCAATAGCGTAGCGCGCGAATGACGTCAGAGTGACTGATTTGCAATTTTTGTCTGAGTTTTGCCATTTTTCTCATTTTAATGACAAAAGTCAGACAAAAGTGAGGAATTCGCTAAATATTAATTTCAGTTTGTTTGTCTGAGTTTCCGGTCTATAAATAGTAACTGCCTGCAGCGCTATTGACTGATGCATAAGAGCTAGTGAAAAGCGGTTTGAGAACGTATGATCTGCTTCGATAATGTGTAATTGTGCCTATGATAGGCAATATACACTGAGTCGGTTGCAAAGTAGCCTGTAGCATGTTCAGTTTATGGAATGGGACGATAGGAGTTGTAAAAATTTAACTGTTTGTTTGCTGCACCGTATTTTCCTACACGTCTACTTTCTTTTGTAAGCATCAACTTAAGATACCTTTAAAAATTAAAAGTTCACCGGATTATATTACTTAAGGATCCAACGGAAGTACTGGCCCTGAATGTTTATTTTAACTTAAAGATTCTAATCGGTAGTTCTTGAGCGTGACCTGGTGATCAAAAACAAAACTTTCTTCCGCATTGCATGAAACTAATCATTTTACATTTACGTCATACATCACGCCACCAATCAGTTGTGTATTAAACAAAATATAAATCTTGAGTTATCTCGCTTTGCTATCAGATCAGTCTTTGTTGGGAAATTATCTGACGGAATCTGGCTAAAGAAATTTCTTGACAACATGTCACAGGACGCTGAAGATGTTGTACCAGGTGAACTGAGTCCGCTGAAACCGGCCGATGTAGAAGTGCAAAAGATTTGCGATCAGGTATCAGTTTAAACTAGCATATGAGGCAGCTCCCTCATGAAATCTTATTTCTTTCTCCGCTTAACTTTGAAATGCCGTGTTTGGCGATAGCGGACAACCTGAGTAACCCAAGCTGGAAATCATGCGTAACTATTATCGTGACCTTCGAAAGTATAAGGACTGATTTTGCGTGCGATAAAAAGATACAGCTGTAAGTTATTTAATCTAGAAATATCCGTTATATATGTTTCCGTGTTTCTTCATGTCGTCAGTTGGTTTGAGCGAAATGCGAGAGCGCGGCGAGAAAGGTGACACTCGGGGGTTAAGACAGAAACATTATATATTACCAGCTTGGGCTGACTGTACTGAGAACCTTTCCGAAGCTTTGTAAACAAACGATGAACAGTTAAATTATTGCCAGTATATTTGATGCGATGGAAGTACATTCAGTACATTTGCTTGTAACCATGATAACAACTATTGTCCCAAACCCCACTCGCATGACGTTTGTGATTTAAAATAAAGAAAACAAGGGGGAAATGAGTGCAAGGCTTCTAGCCGGAATATTCAGAATATTATAGTAGAACTTCGATGTAACGAAGGGCCAAAGGATAGGCAAAATCAGAAGCCCATAGACAAAATATGTTCGCTCAGACGAGGTTTCGTTATATCGAGGTTCTTGTAATTCATATATTTTACTATTACTGGGGTAAGAACAACCGTCCGTTATACTGAGGACTTCGTTGCATCGAGGTTCGTTATATCGAGCCCAGGGGGGGGGGGGGGG